TGAGAGCACCGGACTCCTGGCAAATCATTGTCAAACCCACCACTGTCTTTCGCTACTCAGGTTAAACATGATATATAAGTCACTTAGATAACGTACAAATGTTATTGTTTGGCTTTTTTTTAGTGTGAGATGCTCGAGAATATACTCCGGTGTCCCGTTATATTTTAGATAGCAAGGAGTTTATTAAACTTCACCGAAACAATCTGCAAATGTCATTAACATTTAATAAACTATCATCTTGTCTTTATTTTTAGTTAGCACATACCTTAAACACTTAAAGCTGTAAGCTAATGATAGTTATATAAGAGCAGATGCATGCTGGTGCAATAAGCTGTATGTTTTACGTCCAATGGATGTATGATCTGATTAGTCGACTAATTGCAAAAATAATCGGTGACTAGTCGACTATCAAAATAATCGTTTGTGGCAGCCCTACTCGCCACACTGGTCATCATTGATCATTGTATTACTATGAAAATTTTGACTGGTATTCATGTGGAATGGATGTTACTTTGACATGTGCCACCATTACACCACCATGGCAATGGCACTATTTGACCACTCCAATGAGCATTGAGGGTCCATTCTAAAATATTATGATAGACTGCACATTAAATCCTCAGAGGTCTGGTGTCCATGCCTGTTTTGGCAGCAAAGGGAGGACCTCCTCCTGATGGGTGTATTGTAATTACATGTGCTGTAATTCTGACATTGCTCCTCATTTGCTAACAGTGGATATGTACAAATCTGTGCATAAATCATGCATATGAATGAACATTTCACAAACAAATCAGTGACATATCAATATTTTTATACCTGAAGTTGTCCACACTTACAGAAGAAATTAGAAGTCCCACTCACTTCACGAACACACAAATGGAAACCTGGTCTTTAAAATGACTACTGCCACTAATAATAATAATCATAGTAAATAATAATAATAATAATGTATTGTTATTATTAATATTATTGTTGTTAGTGTTGTTGCCTGTCGACCATTGTTTACAGTTTTCCAAAGCAACATGAGCCACACAATACACAGAATTATTGTTGCATTTTTTTTTAATTCCATGTAAAGAAAACTAAATAGTTATGGAAAGCTGTAGGCTTTAACCTTTTAAACATTTCCATTTCCAAATAATTTTATCTTTCATTAAAAAAACAACTTATATCAGTGCTGGATGTCATCAATTATATCCTAATTTCTTGGCATCCCATGGATGCTGGAGAATCAGGAGAGTTTGTTTTTATGTGGGTTTTTGTTTTGTTTTTAATTGCAATTAATTTCTCATCTAGGGCTGAAAGATCACATGCTCCTTGTCCTCCACCTGTTTTCTTCTTTTTGCTTTAGTCTGTTTTCATATCAGCCCAAACTTTCTTTTTAACAACTTGAGCGTCTGGCTTTCTCCTCGGACTTCGAAAACCGTTTTTTACAGTCTGACTTTGTCCTTCTTTTTTGCTTTAGTAATGCAGACATCTTTCTCTCACTCTCTCCACTTGACCTTCAGGTATACATGCTTCCTCAGATAGAGAAATCAGGTGTTGCTGCATGCAGATTGCAGGCAGTAAACATGAGACAGTTGATTTAGAAGGAATCTTATTTACTGACTTACACAGAGCAGTAAGAAAAAAATTGCCCAGTGTGTACATGCTATAAATTCAACACTGATTTTGACGTCCAAACAGAATAAGAAGGGGTCACACGCATATTAATAAAAAAAGCCATTGTTTCTACAACAGTTTGTCACTGTGTCATTTCTATTGGGATATCTATCATCTAATACGATTGTTTTGGTTCCCCAGGCTGAAATCGATGCTGCTGTCCAGCTGCTGCTAAAGTTGAAAGTGGACTATAAACAGACGACGGGCCAAGATTATAAGGCAGGATGTCCACCTTCAGAAAACCTGATTGTGTCAAACAACGGGCCTGCAGCAGATGACTGTGATGGAGAAGACTTAGTTGACCCGTGGAATGTTTCTGCTTCCAGCACCAAAGGAGTAGATTATGATAAACTCATAGGTGGGTTTTTCAATGAGCTTTAATTCTTCACTTCAAGAGCTGTACTTCACTAATACCTTAATATGAGATAATTTAAGCTGAATAATTGGTGAATGTGTGATGTCACTCCCTAGTGAGGTTTGGCAGCAGTAAAATTGACACGGAGCTGTTGGAAAGAATAGAAAAAGTCTCGGGACAGAGAGCCCATCACTTCCTAAGAAGAGGAATCTTCTTCTCACACAGGTCAGCTTTCCATGGGTTTTGTTGTTTCTAATTTACCAACTTTTGTTGAAAAGATGGTCTTGCAAATGATTATATGGCACGTCGTCAGTAATGTTGAATCAGGGTTAATGTTTACTTGCTATTCCAAATGAAAACATAAAGATAGGAGTGTATTGAGAACACACATTGATAATTCCTTCCTGTTACTGTTTCTGCCAGAGATATGCATCAGATCTTAGATGCGTATGAAAAGCACAAGTCCTTCTACCTTTACACCGGCAGAGGTCCGTCCTCAGAGGCCATGCACGTTGGTCACCTCATCCCTTTCATCTTTACCAAGTGAGTTCAACCTCTTAATTCTGTGATGTCAATGAAATGTAAAGCGTTAAGTGGCTCTGTGACATCTCTCAGCCTGATCTCAATATAGTGTTCAATATCTAAAATTATTGATTCCATGCTCAGTGAATTTTACGTTTAGACTTTTAGACTAAGTTAAAACTGAAGGTAGCGTCCTCATTCCAGATGGCTTCAGGATGTGTTTGACATCCCCCTCGTGGTCCAGATGACCGATGACGAGAAATACCTGTGGAAAGATCTCACACTTGAGGAATGCCATCGCTTCACTGTGGAAAATGCCAAGGACATCATCGCCTGTGGCTTTGATGTCAACAAGACCTTCATCTTCTCAGACCTTGACTACATGGGGTAAAATATGCCAAGAGACTATCTTTATATGTTTATCTGGTAGACTTTGGTGTTGACATTACTGTTTCAAAACAACTAAAAAAATAAAGAACTGTGTGTGTATATATCCATATTTTTTCCAATTCAGATGAATAGAAATGTTTTGATTGTCATTTCAATGTATTATATTCTGCAGTGCATCACCTCAGTTCTACAGAAATGTGGTAAAGGTCCAGAAGCACGTGACATTTAACCAGGTTAAAGGCATCTTTGGCTTCACAGACAGCGACTGCATTGGTAAAATGGCTGAAATGATGTCATCTAATCATTTATTTTACTTATAAGTGTGATTGTGTGATAACTTCTTGGTATGTAATGGTATGTTTTTGTTTTGTTTTGGGGTTTTTTAATACGTCCAGGAAAGATCAGTTTTCCAGCCATCCAGGCAGCTCCGTCCTTCAGTAGCTCATTCCCGCAGATATTCGGCGGCAAAAAAGATGTACCGTGTCTCATCCCCTGTGCCATAGACCAGGTCAAGACGCCATTAAATCAATACGTAGCAACCCGAAATGTACAGTGGTGTTCACAGTATGCAGTTATTTATGTTCTTATCCGTCCTCTCACATTCTCAGGACCCCTACTTCAGGATGACCCGTGATGTCGCTCCAAGGATCGGCCTCCTCAAACCAGCCCTGCTGCACTCCACTTTCTTCCCTGCCCTGCAGGGGGCGCAGACTAAGATGAGCGCCAGCGACCCCAACTCATCTATCTTCCTCACTGACACACCCAAGCAGATCAAAAACAAGGTGCTTTTTGGTCTTTGGTCTTTACTCCTATTCAGATTCAAAATATCTGTGTTTGCTGTCTGATTTACTCTGACCTGTAATAATTTGTCGCAGATTAACAAACACGCATTTTCGGGAGGAAAAGACACAGTGGAAGAGCACAGAAAGTATGGTGGCAACACAGAGGTAGATGTCTCTTTCTTGTATCTGACCTTCTTCCTGGAGGATGATGAAAAGCTGGAGAAGATAAAAGAGGTGAGGAAGTAGAATCTGAACTGTTTGTCAGTCCCTCCTTCCCTCATCCTCTTATTTCCCCTCTGCACACCCCTCTCGTCTGCCTGTACTCATTCAATCCCTTCTTTTGCAGGACTACACAAGTGGGGCTCTATTAACAGGAGAACTGAAGAAGATTTTGATTGAGACTCTGCAGCCAATGATTGCCCAGCATCAAGAGAGGCGAAAACAAGTCACAGATGAGATGGTGCAGCAGTTCATGACACCCAGGCCTTTAAATCATAAGTTCTAGCTTGCTTGGGCATGAGCAGTCAGGGTTCACCATGTGGTTAAGATCAGTATAAGAACAAAAAAAGAATCCTGCTTTATTTCCATTTGAAGTCTTTTTAATGGGAAAGAAGGACAATTTCTCTTACAGTTTACAACCAAACTGGAGGTACAAAAAAAGAAAGAAAAATCGTAAATAATAAATATAAATCACTGGAGTGATGAAATGCCTCTCTGTGTCAAACCAAGCATGGCATTGCCTGCACCTTCATGCTAATTCCCAGTTGATTATTGACTTCCAGCAGTACCAAATGTACCCATTTATTTTCACAATGTGTTACAGCTCTCTCAGGACTGGAAGACGATAAAAGCAGAGTACTAACACATATCTCTAAAAACCGAACTAATATAATCAGTTAAGATATACATCCACTTTGTCTTTATTTACTTAAAAACAGCCTTCTGAATAATAATTGTAACTGTGTGATTATCAAAAGCAGTTGTGTTGTAACTTGTAATCAGGATCAGCCAGCATGTGAGGTGTATTATAAAAAAGTTTGTCTTATAAATACACCTCAGTTTGAACATACATCACATGTAGGATGTCAGTGTCTCAGTCATGAGAACAAAAGCAAATGTTTGTTGTTATCAGCAAGAGGGACATCAGTCAAGGAAGGTAGAAAATCTTCATCCAGCTTATTCTCACACAAAAAAATTAAACGTCTTAACAACAGCATCTTTTGAAATAATTTTTTATTTGAAAATGTTTTAATTAGAAGTAAAGCCATGATTTTTGCTTTTGTTTACTGAATTACGCTCACCGCCTACTTCATTAGGTACGCATCTTTGCAATTTCCTATTAACATAAATACCCAATCAGCCAATCGCATGGCAGCAACTCAATTCATTTAGAAATCCATATATGGCCAAGAAGACCTGCTGAAGTTCAAACTAAGCATAACGAAGAGAGGGAAAGGTAATTCAAGTGACTTTGAACGTGACTTAGTTGTTGGTGCCAAGTGGGCTGATCTACATATCTCAGCAACTGTTGATCTGTTGGTATTTTCCCCCACAACTATCCAAGGTTTACAGGGAATTATATCCCGTGTGCCAATGCCTTGTTGATGCAAGAGGTCAAAGGAGAATGGCCAGGCTGCTATGGGTTGATAGGAAGGCAACAGTAATTCAAATAATAACTAGCTACAATCAAGGGATGCAGAAGAATATCTCTGAATGCACCAAGCAGACAGGCTACAGCAGCTACAGCATTTGTGTCAAACCAGCAGGAACAGGAAACGGGAAACTGAGGCTACTATTCACACAGGCTTACCGGTATTGGACAATACAAGACCTGTAAAACATCTGTTTTGAATCTCGATTTCTGCTGTTTCACTCCGATGGGAGATTGAGAACTTGTGAAAGCATGGATTCACCCTGCCTTTTATCAGTGGGTCTGGATGCTAGTTGTGGTGTAATGATGTGGGGGTTCTTTTAATGGCACATTTTGGGCCCCTTAGTACCAGCTAAGCCACAGCCTGTCCTTAAGGATAAAGTGTCCTTTATCCTTAAAATGCAGATGGACCATCTGCATCTTAAGGATAAAGGACACTCTTTCGAGGATGCCAATGTTCACATTTTGGACAGAGAGGACAGATGGTTTGAAAGAGGAGTGAAAGAAGCCATCTATGTCCACTGTGAG